AGTTGTGAGCTCCACTTGCCCTAAAACTCCAGCCGGTTGCTTATCGTCAATTTCCCTTGCTTTAAATTCCTCGTTTAGAGGATAGTAAGCGATGAGATCACCTAAGTACACCAAAAGGAAGCACGAGTTAATAACCATACTAGTTCTGTGAAATGGTTTTGGGTGAGAATCGAGTTCTTTATGGACAGGATTTAAAGAAATGCGCTTGCTATGCTAACGTGGATTCAGTAAAGGTCATATAAACCAATCACTGATATCAAATCCCTATTTATGTATTTTTGTTTCGATAAAAGATGAAAAACCGGTGTTTTTAAAGGTAAGAGAATTGAATCTTATTTTGGCAATAAGAGAGCCAATAGTCTTCACAGTAAGAGAACTGAGATACATTAGTATCCACCTGCCAAGAAGACTGATACTTGTTTCCCGCAAACCGGTAGAGGAGAGATTTCGCATAGCACGTGTTGTAGCAGTAAATTTAATTGGTCCCTTCTGTAACAAGAAATTCTCACATTTTCTAGCAAGGAAGGAATTCCTAACCGAAACCACAGTCGAAACCTCCGTGCACAGTGGTAGGACATACTGCTAGGATCATTTTTCTTTGTTCCACCCTCGTGACAAGGTGAAAAACATCCTTGTCCATTTCTTACCGAGCTCAAAAGTTACCATCTTTCTTTGTCGATTTACAAACATGACGCTGTTGACATTGTTGATTTTAACAGTATACAGGACGCGTGTCACTATACTGGAGATTTATTCTGCGGACCATGGCCAATTATTTTGAAATAGAACCCATTAAAGATCGACCTAAAATACTGATTGGCGATTGCATTCATTTTGTCGCAGGGACTTGTGTCAGCAACAGTTCATCTGCAAGAGTCCGGATGATTTGGGGGAAAGCCGGACCTCTGGATTGTGATCAAGGGACGAAGACGAGTTGCAAGGACTATTCCCTTTGTGTGAGCCCACCTTCATGAAATTAAGACTAGTTGTGATATAGAATTGAACATTATAAGTACAGCCAATGACCACTGCGTAACATAGGATATGGGTGACAAAGTGTTAAGTAATGTATCAGAGTAAAATAGTGTCGGGTTGTGAAAAAACTCAGCGATGATCGGCAAGTTTATATACCC